ATTTTCAGGAAGTCAATTGGATGAAGTTTATGTCCAAGGGATACTTCAAGTTAGTAATACCATAACAATTAAAGAATTAACTATGTTATCAAATGGTTATCTTTCTATCAAAGGAAATTATGAGATACAATTACTTATTATAAAAGCAACAGAATTTATTATTTATGTTGAAAAGAAAGGTACAATCAAAACTCTTGACACAAAACAACTAGATCTTTCTGATCAAAATATTGATATTTGTTTAATAAAGTCATTAACACATGAATTTCCTGAATTACAACTTCCAGTTAATTTAAAAGGATTTGAACTTAAAAAGTGTTGTGCAGAAAATGAGATTCACTTAAAGAAAGAAGATGCTCAAGTTCGATGTACTATTATTATGTGTTCATTAGGAAAGGTATTAGAACCAAGTAACTGTTTTGAGATACAAGAGAAAAGTCAAGAAGATATACCTATTTCTATTACTCTTACACAGGAATATGATATTAACAAAATTAAGAATAAAAAGATTTATCAATTAGTTATACCAGAAGAACTTCATACTGAAATTGATGGAAGTTTATTTGAAGCAGAAGAAATTATAGTACAAGGAGAAAGTACACTAAAAGGAAAATTTAATAGTATTGTTGCTAATTCAGTAGAACTTGTTTCGGCTGAAGTTAATAAACTTAATATTATTGGTAAAGTAACTTTTGATAATGTTAAACTTACAGGATTTATTGACTTAACTGATTCACAAGTAATAATTAATGGAGTAACAACATTTGAGCGTGCACAAATTATTGCATCATCTGTTAATATTTTTTTAAATAATAAAGGAAGTATTTTTATGGATGATAGTAAAATGATGTTATCATCTGGTGTTATTTATGGTAGTTATGAAAGTACATTTAAAGAATGGATTATTACTAATTCTAAAGTTGAAATAGAAGGAGTTGTTGATATTAATTTTGATGGTGGACATGATGACCTTTGTAAACAAATTATTCACTTATCAAGTTCTGATATTTCTTTTTCAATAACATCACATGGTAATTCAAAATCATCATTAGTATTAGATACTTCTAAAACAGGATTATATGCTTGTTATGAATATAATAATAAACCAATTTATACTTTAGAAAATTGTAAAACAAATAAAAATCAATTAATATTACCTGATGACACTACTTGTACTTGTGATTCATTATATTGTAACTATATTGTTGAAGGTAAATCTATTCAAATTACTGAAGATATAGGTGGAATAGAAGGTAGTGATTTAACAATTAAGGCTAATGGAATAAGTATTGATCAATTGGTTTGTTTTGGAGAATGTACATTAGTTGGAGATTTTGTTGTTAGAAATATTAAACAACAATCAGGATCATTAAATATTAAAGGTCAAATATTAATTAATACAATTAATGTTCTAGAAGGGTCTACAATAATTAAAGTATATCCATTAGCAATTTTAACATTAGAAACACAAGTCATTGAAAATACTAAAATTTTTGTCCAAAATAGAGGATCATTAGAATTAACTACAAATAATTTAAAACATTCATTAATCGAAATTGAAGAAACTGGATTAGCTGTTGTCTATGATTCAAATCTTATTATTTCTTCATCAGTTATTTCTTTATCTAATGTTAATCATAATGCTTTTGCATTAGGTCCAGGAAAAGGATTAGGAACTGATTTCAGACCAACAAGTTCTACTATTTCATTTTCTCAAGACTCATTAATTGTTATTAGAGGAGAAGTAACTGATGAAGCTTATTTAGTTTATGGACCTAAAGGAAGTATTCTTAATGTACCACAAGTTAAATACGTTATTAATGAACAACTGTTTGATATTAAATCCCGTATTAAATGTGGAACTTATATCGTTGCTAATGCATTTAAAGATGATGTTGTATGTCCCAAACAACCATTTAATTTGAGAGGAGTTAATGTAGTATTGGTACCAAAAAAATGGAATAGAAACCAATCATATTTAATGATGTTGATGTTTTCTTTTATAGGAACATCAGGGTTATTAGTAGTATTATTTATTATCTATTCACTAATTAAAGCCTCTCATATTGGTAATTTGAAAATAAACTAAATTAATTTATAAACAACACTACAAACCTCTAATTGAATTAATTTTTTCTACTCAAAAAAGAAAATAAAAAAGTAAAATGAATAAAGAATTAAAAAATTCTATAAAACACATTATTGTTTAATTTAAGAGTATTGCTATAATGTTATATTATTCTATTTAATTAACTCAAACTTATTTTCTTTTGTAAGGTCTGCTAAAAAGAAAATTCAAAAACTGAGGTTGTTGTATCAGTATAACAATTACACTCTTGTTCTTGGTGTAACTGAGTGCTGATAGGTTTTTTTTCTTTAATTCCAAATTCTTCAGTTGATTGTTCGATTTTTTCATCCGTTTCTAATGTTGGTGAACCATCAATTTTTATATGTGGAGATGGGATTCTATCAGCCAATAAAAAGAATGAATTTTCAGTTAATGTTTGTTCTTTAACACTTTCTTCCTGATTAGTTTTATTGAAGTCATGATAAGCAGGTGATCTCTTTAAACGTGACATTAAAATGATTATATTTAAGTTTTCTTTTATATTAACCCACCTGCCTTTTTATTTTATTTTTTAATTTTTTTCAAAATGGTTTTTGTTATTATCTAATTATAAATATCAAAAAAAGAGAAACAAAAAAACTCTGAAAAACTTTCTTTTTTAAATTTTTTATTTAAAAAAACTAAATACAAGATAAATCTTAAAATAATTTTGTCTATTTTTTATTGATGATATTTTGGAGTAGATAATTTCTTTTTTGTTTTAAAAAATGAAATAGTCATTAGTCAATGACTTCAAGAACATGAGTTGTTCTATACAAAAAAGTTTAATATTATTAATTGAGATATTCATCTAACCTTACAAACAAAATGATTTTAAATTTTATAAGTATTATTCAAGATATTAGTTATGGTATAACTGCGTTATATAATAAAATATTAATTCTTATTAAGAATTTTCTTAGGTTATATAACATTAAAATAATTTTATTTTAACTTGTCTTATTGTTAAATATCTTTTTATGTAACTTAAAAGTATTTTTGTGACTTCAACTCCATTTTAATTTATATTTGATGGCGTTGTGTAGTGTTTTCTTTTATACTATTTTTATCACTAGAGTACTACTTAATAATGAATAATACATACAAACATAATGGAATAATTAACTTAATAAAATAAGATGGCATACTATTTAATGTAATTTATCTTTAAAAAAAAGGAAAGTAAAAATAAACTGAGTGGTATTTTATACTAATAACAAACACTAGTTGTTCACATCTTTACCATGAACGACTTCTATGTTTAAATTTTTAGTACTTTAAGTGGGTATTTCTTTAAAATCGATAAATTAAATAAACTCTTTAAAAAATTTAGATATTTTATGAGTAGAACTATTGAGACTCACCAAAACCTCTTATAACTTCAAGGAAAGTAGACTTTTGTACCTTCTTGTACTGTGCTAGGATTTAATAGAAATCAAATTAAGTTACTTTCTTTACATTATCTCTTTCTGAATACTCAGTTTTGTAGCAATAATAAAGAATAATAATATAGTTGTTTTATAGTCAATCACTTACAACGAACCAAAGACCACACCCTAATAACTTGTTTCTTAATTGCCTGTTTAATACATTTAAATCTAATTCCATAATTCATTTTATTTTACTCCATATAAACTCACTCAAACTGAATTAATACAAAACCAAAACATTGAATAAAATAAGTTTATTTAATGATAGACATGTGCTATAAGTTAATTTCTCATTATAAAAGAATGGTTCAATAAAAATACACTTAGTTTGCATTCAAAAGTTATCAAATGAAATAAATTTGAGTTTATGAAAAAGAATGTTATTGAAGATTGAGTAAATGATTATATTTTAATTTATTATTTATTTGATATTTGTTTTTTCTTTATTTTAGTTTTATATAACAATATTACAAATTTTTATATTATTAATTGTATTTACCATTTCTATTAAATAAATAAAAAATAAAAGAAGAGGAATGGTCAAATTCATTTTTTTATTACCAAATGAATATCAAAATCTTACAAAGAATTGTAATGTGATTAATTTTCAGGATTTAGCACTCTTAATTTTACCTATCACTTCATTGCAACAAAATAGTCTACAATATTTCAGAATTAAAAACCTATTGGATCTTATAGTTTTTCTGTAATTTGTTCTTTGTTCTGACCATCCTTTTTAACAAAATTTATTTAAGAATTTGATTACTAATATAACTTATTATCTATGAACATAACTTAATTAAAAGGAGTCAGAATATTCGATATAATTTTGACAAGCCCCACCAAAAATAATACGTCTTTTATTTCCTTGAGAAACACGAAGAAGTTCAATTTTGTCAATAGTTTCAACAAATTTTTTAATAACCTTCTTTCTATTCCATAAATCTTCTTTAGTTCCTTTAAAACAAGGGACTGGCACTTTTCTACAATACTCATCAAAAACAGTTGAGGTTTTGAAATAAGAAGAGTTTGGTTCATACCATTTATTCCTTACCATAAGAGACAATATTTCACATACCTTTTTATAATTGACAGTAAAAATAAAATCAGTTTTTAGAGGAACCAACTTGTGAACATCTTTTTGAGACTCATCACTTAATAGTGATGAAACTATTTTTCTATCAAAAGTAGAGTTGTTTTGTTCAACATTAATCTTTTTTTCAACTTTATGTTTTTCATTAAGACTCTTATCGTTTACTTGAGATAAAGGAGTGGTTGTAGGAACAACTTTATGACTTTGTGCTAGTTCAAGTAGAGGTTCTTGTGCTAATGTATCTGTACTATTAGGAACTTTTTGAAGAGAACCAGAACTATCTTTTTCAGAATTAACCATTTTTTGAGATGAGATTGAAGCGTTAGTGCCTCGAGGTTTCTTTCTGATAATATCAGAATCTTCAGATTTTTTAAGTTTATTAATAAGCTCTTCTTGGTGTTTAACTTGGACACGAAGTGAAGTAAGTTCGATTAATAAATGATGTTTTTCTGTCCTTTCTTTGTCTATAAGTTCTTGTTTTTCTTTAATTTGTGCAGAATACTTTGATGACATTTCAGATTTAAATTGAAGGTGTTCAACCATTTTATTTGCAAAGAGTTGTTGTTGTTTATTAATGACAATTTTTAATCGTTCTACTTCTTGAAAGAGTTTTTCTTTTTCTGATTCTAATTTTGATATTTTTTGTTTATAAAAATCGTTTTGTTGTTGGGCCATTCTAAGCTGGAGGTATTCTTCAAATTTGATTAAGAAATTTGGTACCTCTTCCATATTGGAATTGTTCATTTTTATTTTGTTCTTTCTTTTAAGATTCTTTTTAATTTTAAAAAAAAAAAGAAGAAATAAAATTTTAATAAATAAATAAAAAGAGAAATTATAAATAAAAATTAAAATAAAATTAATGAAAAATAATTTAATTGATAACGTGAGAACCAGAGTTCATGGCCCATCTCTTAAGAATAATATCTTCAGTGAATTCAGTTTTTCCAACAGCTTCTAATTCACCATGATGTGGCATTAATACTTCAAGTGCTTGATCTTTAAATTCTCTAACTCTAACTTTAGCAATTCCTTTACATTTTGGTCCTTTCCAATCAATGAAAATACCTCTTGCTTGATCTGGAATACCTTCAAGAGTACATCTAAGGTTAATAAGAGCAAAACATGCTTCATCATCCTTAAGTTCATCACGAAGTGAATCAACACCATTTCCAGAAGTTCTGAAAACAAGTTGTTTATTCTTAACTTCATATACTACCCATTGTCCATTTGGAACATCAATGCTTCCCATTAAAGCCATAGCCTCTTGTTCAGTAGCCATTTGTAATTGTATATGTCTTCGTAGTTTTTTTTTCCTTCCTTTTATAGTTCTACTTATTAATGACTACGTGGACTCTTCAAACTTTATTTAATTCTAAATTAAGAAATTATAGAGCTTTTCATGATTTTGTTTTTAAAGTTCTATTTTCATTATTTTCTTTAATTCTATTTTTTCTTTGTATTTCTTTTCTTATTTTTTTATTTTTCATTTATAACTTTCGTCTTATAATGGGAACGATCTCTATTTCTGATTAGTAGCGTTAGAACTTGAAGTTTTAAAATGTATATTTCAATTTCATTTTGAAACAACTCATCAAAAAAAAATATTTTTCTTATCTTTTCAGTATCACAAAACAAAATATATCTTTTGTATTTATTATGAAATTAATAAGAAAAGATACTATCTTAAATAAAGTTAAAAGGACGAAAATTCGTTAGTTAATTTGCTCAGCTCTTTTCCTTCTTTTGTTTTTTATACATAGAATTCATTCTTTTTTTAGTTAAAGTATTAGGGTAATGAAGTTAATAAACTTCTCTATATTATTTATCATTATATATGTTTAATTATATTGACAATGTGACGACTCTTACTTACAAATCATCTTGTAGCATATAATGCATAAAAGAACAACATATGATTAAACACTAAAAATTATTTTAGAGATTTTATATAATACTCATAATGGTATTTGCATAGTGTTGTTATCTGTTTTAATAAAGAACTTTTATATCGAATAAAACTCAAAATAAAATAAAATGATGAATAACAATACACAAATACTTATTAGTGATAAAGAACAACTTGTTTTTCAACCCTTTTTAGTTAATAAAAAAGAATTAATGATTCGTGTTGCACAACGTTATCAACAAATAAATTTACTTTCTTATGAAATAATTTTTATTGATTTAAAAGAAAAAAAATTAATTGAGCCAATGACTTTTGCAAGTACTTTGAACAAAGTCAATGTTTTATTACCTGTTGAAAGGTATCAATCAGTTACATTTAAATTAAGTAATGACGTTATTTTAAGAAAAGAAGTTGATTTTTCAAAAACTATAGCAGAAGTCTTTTATTCATTAGGATTTGATGGTTATTATGATACTCAAGACCCTTCTTTTGATTTATCCGAATATTTTGTAACAAAATATTATAATCATAAAACACCTATTATGATTAAATCAACACCTTTATATCTTAAGTCTAGTTTTGTTCCTGTTGATCATTTTACTCAATTCTACCTTGTATGTAAATCAATTCTTATGTCAAACATCCATGCAATTCCAATTGGCCCTTATGCCCAAATGGCTTCACTTTATTATTTATTATCATTAAATATTAATATTCATCCTTTATTAAATGATATTAATACAATTGAAGATTATCTTCTTTGTCATTCCTTAGAACAATTAGAACAAAAACAAATTGATCTTTATCATTCTCTTGGTGTTCAAACAAAATCTTTCTTCCCTTTCCATCTTCAACCATTTTTAACACATAAATTATTGATTCATATAGGCAAAAAAATATTAAATTATTCAAGATTTCCAAATTCTTATTTGATTCGTTGTTTTGTTACATCATTAAGTCAATGTGAAGGACTTAAAACAATAGGGTTGATTGGTAGACATTGTAAAGACCGTACTTTACTTTCTTTAGGAGAAGATGGTGTTTATATAACAAACTGTAGTGGAACACTTCAAAAGAAAATAAAACTAAATCAGATAAGTAAATGGAAATCTAATGGGAAATTCTTTTATATCTTGGAAGGAAATCCTGAAACTCAATTTGCTTGTATTAAGTTTGATACTAAACAACAAGCAATTGATACAGTTCGTATCTTTAGTGAATATACTGATAATTTAGCTAAACAAAGAAATATTGTTGGACATGATGATCAACAAAGAAGAGACATACAACCTGATGATAATTAAATATTTGATATAAAGATTTAAAATAAAGATAAAGAAGTAATCAATT